GCCCGCAGGAGAATCTCTTATCCACGTCCCCCTCTGCTTCCCGGGTGCTTTTGAACCTGCACCCTGGTTTTCGGTTCTGCAAAGCCCCAGCGTTGCCATCTCATGCCTCTGTCAGACTCGCCTGCAGACGTGTTGCTGGTTCCCTCCCTTCCCCCTCAGCTGAGGTCGGTTCCCTCCAGGCTCTGAACGGTGCCGGTGAATCGTCTTCTGCTGGATGAGCCAGTTGTGCACTAAGTGGCATCGCCAGACCCTTAGGAAGCACATAGGAACTAGGGGGGAGGGATAGCGCAGTGGTTTGAGCATTGGCCTGCTAAACCCAGGGTTGTGAGTTCAATCCTTGAGGGGACCATTTAGGGAGCTGGGGAAAAAATCAGTCTGGGGATTGGTCCTGCTTTGAGCAGAGGGTTGGACTAGATGAGCTCCTGAGGTCCCTTCCAAGCCTGATATTCAATAATCCTATGTTGTAGGAGCAACCTCTGGAGGCTAGAGGAGAGAGAGAACTCTCCCCTGTCTCTGATCAGTCTTGTTTCCTGGTCTCTGAGCAGTGGAAGCATTGCACAGCTCTGTCACACTACAGTGCCCGGCTTGTACAGGTGCTGAGCTGACGGGCACTTGGCAAAGGCTGGGGCCATTGGCAGCTTCTGCCTCCACCCCGATTTGCGATGGGCTGGCTTAGTCCTGTGTCGTTTCTGGTATATGAGCCACAGCCGGATCCTGGCTGGGGGAGAGGAGCTAACAGAGCCCCAGGTAGTCGGGGAAAGGACTCGAAGCTGGCCTTTGCCACCTCACAGCTTTCATCTGCTTGGCTGGCGCTGAACAGGGAAGGTACGTCCCTGTATAGCGTGCAGCTGCCCCGCGGCATCAGAGGCCCCCAGATCCAATGCGTCTGCCGGGGCTGCAGCACATTTCCGGTAGGCCCGAGCCAACCACACCTGCGGGGTTTGTGCGTGTGCCATACCGGTGCCCTGGTGCCAGAGCAGTGCTCCTAGGGAGAGACGTGCTTGTGCGACATCCAACATATTGTTCCCAGGGCCTCGCTGCGGGCCAGCTGGTCCCTGCTTACCCACGGGGGTAGACATCTGTCACCTGTTGCTAGGAGATTCCTGTTTCAGGGGGGGACCCCAGCCCACAGTAGAGTCCATTAAGGAGCGAACGTGATGTAAGAAAATCTCTGATCCGCCGCAAACTGTAGCAACTAAAGACAGGACAAGGCACTTCTTTGAAATAGATCCTGGCTTAGCTACAGCGGTAACGTGGTGGAGAGAGTGGATTCCCACCCCCACAAAGCACACAGCCATCGAAACCCCAGGACCCACTGAAGGGGTTGAGCTATTATTATTTGTTTAACAGAAGCACGTAGAGCCCCCGACCCAAATCCGAGCCCCATTGTGCAAGGTGCTGCATGGACACACAGCAGGAGACAGTCCCTGCTCTAAGGTAGGGGTTCTCCACCTTTTCTCTCTGAGGTGCCCCCAACATGCTATAAAAACTCCACGGCCCACTTGTGCCAGAACAACTGTTTTTCTGCATATAAAAGCCAGGGCCAGCATTCGGGGTAGCAAGTCGGGCAATTGCCCAGGGCCCCACGCCACAGGGCCCCCCGAAAGCTTAATTGCTCAGGCTTCGGCATCAGCCACATGGCAGGGCTCAGGGTCCTGGGCTTCAGCCCCATAGGGCAGAGTGTCTTCTTTCTGCCCTGGGCCCCAGCAAGTCTAATGCTGGCCCTGCTTGGCGGATTCCCCTGGGCCCCGGACCCCTGGTTGAGAACCACTGCCCTAAAAAGTTTGCAATCTAAACAGACTAGGCAGGCAAAGGCAAACTGATTTGCCCAAGGTCGCACAGTAGATCAGTGGCAGAGCCAAGAGTAGACCCGAGGTCTCCTGAGACCTGATCAGCTGGAACGAGCAGTTGGTTGAATGCAGACATTCTCTGGGTGCTAGCTGAAGCCCCGAGGAGCTGAATGAGTGACATGAATTGGTTGCTCTGGCTAAAGGAACTCCTGGCACCGCTTAGATGAATAACTAAGAGCCTGTTCCTGGTCCCATTGAAGTCCACGGCAAACCCCCTACTGAGTGCGTGGCTGCGGGACCGAGCCCTGGCAGAACAATAGCGTCCATCTGTGCGAGTGAGCACGTGGAACACGCCTGCGCAGCGTTCTAGGGCACGCTGATCGGCTTGGCGCTTTCCCAGCCGGAGGGTGCAAAAAGGGAAAGGTCACGGTGGGGGTTAGTGTTTTCACAAGCATTTGCACCTAAGTTCAGGCAGATCTTGGCTGACACTCAGGAGGTTAAAAGGGACCTCACGCTGCTTCTAGAAATCCAGTCTCCCTAGTCATCCCCTTGCAGCAACAACCATGGCTTGTTTATTATCATAACTAACGCAATTTGCTGTCAGTCCAGAGCAGTGAACAGTAAATCCCGACTCCCGGGTTCTAGTCCCGACCCTGCTACTAACCTGCTATGCAGCCTTGGGCAAGTTGCTTCATCTTTCCCTTTCTGTCCAATAGGGCTCATGAAACTCACCTGCCTTTTCGGAAGCTTTAAAGTGACCAGACAGCAAGTGTGAAAAATCGGGACAGGGGTGGGGGGAATAGGAGCCCATGCAAAAAAAAAGCCCCAAACGTCGGGACTGTCCCTGGTCACCCTACTTGCGCGATGAATGTGCAAAGTGCTTTGAGATCCTCTGGTAGAAACGGCCACTGAATATGAGAGGGTGCAATGCGATGGCTCCCAACTGAAGAATTCCTCTGTGCTCCGCTTTGCCCCATCGGTCGCCGCATGTGAGACCATGGCATGTCGCGAAGTGCGGGCCCTCACGTGCCAGGAAGCGGGGAAGCTCAGAGCCACTCCCGGTGTCTGGTTTGCCGTGGCGCTGGTGCAGGACAGCCCGCTCTGTAACCAGGACCAGCGATCAGAGCAGGCAGCCCAGTACCGTGGGGGGTGGGCTTTCACGGCATGCTGGGCGGGAGATAATGAACCAGCGAGTCAGCCTGCTATGAATTTCACAGCTGCGTCCAGGAACAGAGCCAAGCTATGGATCTGTTTCCTAAATTGCCTTGCCAGTGTCCAGGCTGCCAGTCCAGATCTCTTCAGCCCTGGCTTTCCCCTGGAGCGGGCCTCTGCGGCCATGCCAGTGGCCTGCTCCCGCTGGCGCCGGGGCAGGAAATGCCAGGGAGCCGATGCAGGCTGACACGCTTGGCTGTCGATCCTGGCTGGGTTAGCTAAGTGGTTTAGCTGGAAGGGCTGGTCATTCCGCCGCCCCTTGCAGATGGCTCTTGTGGGGTATTTCTTGTTAGCTACAGACACCGAGAGACCGAAGTGCTATCCCCGGGAGATCAGTGCTGTCTCCTGGGACCCATGGGCTGGGGAAGTGACTTTGGGGAGGATTTGTGTCTTGCCAAGTGGTCTGCACAATGAGCCACGGGGACTCCCTGCCTTCCCCTGGCACATGGGGGGCTGTCCCATACCACGCACACCAGTGCAGGTGCTCACAAGCTTCGTTATAGGGCCGGCCACATCTTAACACAGAGAGTGTCTCCTTGACGCCTCCCCACCTCTCGCCTGGCCCCCAGTTCCCTGATCCCCTCTCCACCTGGCCTCCTGCCCCCGCCTCCCCCGGCCTCCCACTTTCCCTCCTTTCCATAGTCACATACCTCTGGGGCAGCGACAGGAAGCGCTGACATGGCAAGTAACAGGCGGGATGTGCCTGACGTATTTTTAGCTTCCTTGACTGCGGCGTAGCAGCTGGAAAGAGGAAGGAACCCGTGCCGTGAGGTCAGCTGGCTCCGCGCCCCCCATTGTCCACTGCCCACAAGTGCAGAACATCTGTTCTCGAGCTTTGTCCAGGCTGGTTTCCAGGGTCTCCCCGCCGCCTGCCTGCTAGTCGCTGTCACCGCTCTAACCTGCGATGAAACAGCCTCCGAGGCAGTGTGGGTGAGAGCCACTGACTGGCCGGCTGGGATACTGATCCCCCGACATCTGACTCTGGCATGATGGGTGTTTGCCTGAAAGGGTTGGGAGAGCGAGGGGGTGTTTTGGCATCAAACCCTCCCGACCCCCCGGGCTCTTGGGGGATGTTTTATTCATGGTGAGTTGGCGCTTACACCTGTTGGAAACTCCCATGGGAGAGGGGCTGGGGGGAGCTGCTGACTGTTTCTCGCTCCCTCTCCCAGGGAAGCCGGCAGTGTTTGCAGAACGCAGGCCGTGAGGATGCAAAGTGGAGAGAGGATTGAGAACAGAGAAGGGAATTTGGTTTCTTGAACGGATTCTTTTTGTGGCACAGAGATGCTGGATGGGGGGGGGGGGTCTAGTTCCAGACAAGCACAGAGCAAGGGAGGGAGTCTCTTGCTCCGTCCTTTGGTGTCATGCTGTGAGCACCTGGAGTGTGTCAGGATTCACACACATGTGTGTGTGGTAATGAAAACACTTTGTCCTTCCATCCAAAGATCTCAAAGCATCCTGTAAACATCAATGAACTGAGTCCTGCAACCAACAAGCCCCCCGCTCCCTGAGCTCCAACCCTATTATCCCGTCACAGCTGGGGAAACTGAGGCACCCATCGTCAGAGGTGCTGAGCACCCACCGCCCATTGACTTCGGCTGAAGCGGTGGGTGTGTGTGTCTTCCGGAAATCAGGCTCTAAGGGATTTGCCCCAGCTCACGTAGCAAATCAGTGACTCGTGTTCCATGAGCAGCACTGCCTCCCTGGTAGGGACGGAGGCTTCAAATGTCGCTGGCCTGCCTTCCAGCCGCTGTGCGTGGGCTGTCAATCTCTTTGGGACAGGCGAACGGGCTCCTCCCATACCGAGAACCCCTGTTCAGCTGCTGTCTAGCCCTATAGGCACCTAAATTCCTACTGTCCTCAGGAAACTACACTAGTTCTCTAGAACTGCAGAGAAGGTAAATGATTTGCTACTGCACCCAGTTGTCTGTTTTCCTTTAGTCCAAGGGGTAGATGTTCCATGGACCATGTGCTGGGTAATAACATGAGAGGAATCCACGCTTGGAAAACAAAATTGGCTATTTATTAGGAGAGCTAATTACAGAGATGTTGCAACTGCAGCCAGCATTCCAGCCATGTGCACACAGACTGACTCCCTGGTGCGTCTTCCGTCTGGCAACCCATGCTCCTCCTTCATAAGACCCATACAGGTTGTGAGAGCAGAGACCTGAGTTGTTAGATCTGCAGCTCCTGGGTTCTAGTCCTGGCTCTGGTGTGATTCATCTAAGAATTGTGTCTGCATGCCTGGATTCATTATAGGCCTGTTCACAGTGCAACCTTTTTGCCTTGTACAAAGTTGAGCATATACATAATACAGAACAATAATTCAGAAACCAGAGCCTCCTGCTGCAAACAGTCTCCCAGTTGTTCAAATGTTGGTGTCCACCCTTCACAACCAGTATCTCAGCAGCCATGCAGATTCCTAGACCAAGCAGTGTTGCTGTCAATCACTGGGAAATAAGCTGCCGTTGGTAAAGCACCTGGGTGTGCATTGTTCTTAATTCTTCTTTCTTTCCTAGAGACTTTGGGCATCTGAGAAGGGGTTGTCACTAGGGAAGTACGGGCTGTTCTGGAGTCTGTCCAAGCCTGCCATTGATCCTAAAAGCAACACGCTGTGAGGTTTGAAAGCGGCCATCATCCTTGTCCGTAGTTTCCTTGCTTGTCACAGCCTCTGCACTTCCAAGTTCCTCTGCAGGCCGGAAGCGAGACAGTCTCAAACAGGCTGTTTCTGTAGTATTTTCTGCCCTAGGCACAGGGGGCAGCTCTGGACAGCTCACAAGAGAGGCTGTTTCAAACCCCGCGTTGCAGATTCCAGAGGAGAGTTTGGCTGTACGGCTGGGAGGAAGGCAGGTGTGATAGCTAACAGGCTTGGCAGAATGTGATTTTTATTTTGGTATGCTTTTGACGGATAACGTCAATGTTTATTTTTAAGCTTTTTTAAAATTACTTGTATTGATTTTAAATTTTCATGGTTGCAGAAAATTCTGCCGGAGTGGCCAGGCGATATTTAATGACAGACGAGATTCAAAGAGTTTGAGCTTTATAACTGTTAAAACACAAATACGCAACATCGCATGTCAAAATATACAATGTAAATATCCTTAAATCAAACCGAGTGTGTTCTCAAGAAGTATTTGTCTTACGTTGCCTAGCTGGGCATTTGGATAACGATGGATGGAAATATTTGCTCCTCACTTTGTGGCTGCACGGTGAAATTAACGTTTACTGACATTTACTGATAAAAGTCTCAACCTTCCAAGCCACATTTGGAAGAGGGAGCCATGACCGTGGGTTCGATTCCCAGCTTTGCTCCACGACACACACCTGTCAGGGATGGCCTAGGACAGGGGCTCTCAACCTTTCCAGACGACTGCACCCCTTTCAGGAGGCTGATTTGTCTGGCCTACCCCCAAGTTTCACCTCCCTTAAGAACTGCTTGCTTACAAAAAACAGACAGAAAAATACAAACGTGTCACAGCACATCATTACTGAACAATTGCTGACTTTCTCTTTTTTACCATATGATTATAAAAGAAATCAACTGGAATATAAATATTGTACTTACATTGCAGTGTACAGTATATGGAGCAGTATATACAAGTCACTGTCTGTATGAAATTTTAGTTTGTACTGACTTCGCTCGTGCACTTTATGTAGCCTGCTGTAAAACTAGGCAAATCTCTAGATGAGTTGATGTACCCATGGAAGACCTCTGTGTATCCCCAGGGGTATGTGTATCCCTGATTGAGAACCACTGGTCTAGGTTTACTTAATCCTGCCTCTGTGTGTGGAGGGGTTGAACTAGATGACCTCTTGAGGTCTCTTCCAGCCCTACATTTCTATGATTCTATGCAATCATGTCACTGCTTGGTGCCTCAGTTTCCCCAGCTGTGAATTGGGGATAATGCCTACCTCACAAGGGTGCTCTAAAGAACAGCTGTAAGCACACTGAGGTCCTCAGAGGAAGGGGACGACAATGTTCTTTTGAAGGTAGTTTTTTGGCAGTTGGCAGTGATGTTTCTAGGTGCTGATGTCACTCAAGAGGCCCACGAGGCGCCCTTGCGTTGCAACGCTGCAGCAGAACGCGGCGATGTCTTGATTCTATGGCCAAGCCGCCTTGCATCCACTGCATCGTTCGGCACCAGTGCAGGCCCAACAGGAGTTCATCCCCTTGGACGTTCCTAGTGAGGCGGTGACCTCATGTGCCCCTTAGGAAACCCTCCCTGAGAACAGCAGCAACATAGTTCTGTCTATGCATGTGTAAGTACCTGATTATGGGGGGGATAGTTCAGTGGTTTGAGCATTGGCCTGCTAAACCCAGGGTTGTGAGTTCAATCCTTGAGGGGGCCACTTAGGAATCTGGGGCAAAATCAGTACTTGGTCCTGCTAGTGAAGGCAGGGGGCTGGACTTGATGACCTTTCAAGGTCCCTTCCAGTTCTAGGAGATGGGATATCGCTATTTATTTAAATCCCACCGGTTGCAGAGCCATCTTTCATTGACTATTCCTGGCTGGTCTTTTCGCCCAGTGTTTTGCAATTGCAGCGCCTCCAAGGGGAGGGGGGCACCTATGGCGGCGCCAGGTGGCTGGTGCTGGAGGGTTTCAATCTGTCAGGCGAAATGGATCCAGGGCCCAAAGACTGGTTTGCACGTGCCTTTCCTTGGTGGGGGTGGGTGGGGAGCTGGCCACGCTATGCAATGGCTCAGGAATTCCCAGAATGAGCTCTCCTTGTTTTGCTTTCCCATTCCAAGCACAAGTAGCCAGTGAGTCAATGGTTGGAGTGGCCTGGTCTGGTTCCAGTGAGCAAGGAATGAGTTTGACAAAGGGCCTGCCCATCTGGCTCTCGTTACTGGGAGGTTGGAAGGTCAAATAGATGGAATGTGACCTTATATGGAACTCTGGAGTCTCTAATAACTAAACCGCCAGGATCTTCCGCTAACCGGCCATGCCTGGGGGACAGTCACCCCTGTGCAGAGGGCCTGCACAAAGCAACTCTCGTGATTTTCTTGCGAGTCTCACCATAATTGCTGTAAAAAAGCTCCTGCTCCAGGAGGCATGTGATTAGGTGAGCATCCCAGTGTTCATTTTAAGAAAAAAAAGTAAGGGTCTGGCTGTCAGGCTTGCAGAGAGGTGTCTGAACATGTGACCTGAGTGCACCCTGGAGACTGAGTGCACCCAGAAGCATAAAAAGAAGCCCAAAGGTATTATTTTAAAAACCCAACAAATCTCATGATCTTTAAGCCAAGCTCGTGAATTTTTGGAGCCCGATTCATGTTCTGTCAATGCTTGTGGTGAATAGTGCTGGCTCCATTGAATGCTGCAAAGAGGGAACTGGTGTCTGGGCCTCAGTCTCGGCCTCTGTGTGGGGGTGAATCTCACCCATCGACTTTTGAAGTGACTACCAGGGAAGCCTGGGAAATCTGCCTTGTGAAACTAAAGGTACCGGGAGCCGCAGCTTGGCTTGGGGCTTTTCACCTCTCCAGGGCATTTCCAGAGCAGCTTCCATCCCATGATTGCAACGTGTTTTCCCAACATTAATGAAGACTTACAACACACCGCGAAACAGGTTCTCTTGTAACACCCGGCTAGTGAGTGTATGCGCCACTGTCCTCTACTGGGTGGAAGTAGAACTTTTCCGCTATGTGCCATAAGCCCTGTACTGCTACAAGCTGATGAGGATTCTTGTTTATTCCAACCATCAGGGGCCTGGACTTACAGAGCAGGCGGACTGAATTTTATTCCTGCAATCCCTGTGGAGTTTTAAGTGGCCGTAGCATGCAAAGAAACTCCTTGAGAGCTATCAGTGTATTACAATATTATTATATGCACGATGCAAAGGGGGAAACTGAGGCATGGAGAAGCTAAGTGGCTTGCCCAAGTCCACACGGCATGTCAATGTGCGGTGAGGTACAGAGCCCAGCAGTTCCGACACCCCACCCCCTGCTCTCAACACTAGCCAGACAATCCCAGGAGCCAGTCCCATTTCCCAGCCCTATC